TTGTTATATAAAACTCAACACCGAGGAAGGTAGCGAGGTTTTAATGCGAACAATGTTTTTAATTAATACGGTCCAGAGAATACTAACAATGTTTACCCAAAGAAAATGCAATCGTTTTATTGTGTTCGACGACCATGTCAACAATGTAATGTAGGCTAATGGAATCGAATGATGAGAGAAATTTGACTTAAAAAATATATTTAAAATGAACGTATTAACATTATTATTTGTTGTCGTAAGGAACGCGCATTATGAAAAGTCAATAGAGAGCTGACATAAGTGTAAGATTTTGTAGTTACGAAATGATGTTACTTATCATAATATTTGTGTTTGAAGGGATAGTGAGTTTACCGACACTTGATCTTTGAAGTCTTTGATATAATATATTTACCTGCACTGACATAATATTATTATGCCAATGTAAGTAAATAATATGAGCTGTAATTTATGTCGATGCACTAAAATTCAAACATTAGTTGATGACATTTTTTAATACAAAAAATAACAACTACAATTGAAACTTGCGCGTGGACACAAATAAAAGTCTCCAACCTTGACTAACTGTGGTTTATTGCTTTCGCGAACACAGGCATACTACTACAGTCATAAATCTCTTGACTGTTATTCTGCACTGTAAGTGTATTCACAAATAAGTAACATAATACAATAGACATATGAGTTGTAAACAAAAAATATTAGACGTTAACAACCTTTTAAAAGATCACAGTAAATCAAGAAATGATATTTGAAATTACAACATACACTACACAAATTTGTTAAAAGTTGACGATTTTAATAGTTTTGTGTTTTTATTCTGTTTCTGTTGCAAGACAATCTCATATGAATCAACGGAGGTATTTATTTATTTGCATAATATTTAATTTGCGTTGTTTACAATTTTATATACGTCGATGAAGTATGTGTGAAAGGTCTTCCGGAACAAACGTTTAAATTGTGAAATACACATTCAATGAGTAACACAACGACTATTAGCAGCTGATAAATACATATTATACAGAGTTATAAATGTTCACTAATAAGCCCATTTAACAAACGTTGCCGTCGAACTTTCTCTACTAATACCCACTCATAAGTGCACAACAACAAAACACTATACATGATTTATAATAACATAGCAAAGCGAAGGAATTACTCATTCCGTTACATGTGGAATATGCACGATGAACTTTTTAAAGGGAAGATATCGAGCGTAGGAATTCCACGGATGATTAACTCTCAATAATGATGCAATCACTGTCATCTATTCGATTTTTAACGCGTGACTGCAACTTTGTTCATTTGGCATTTACCTATATTTTTAAGATAGGATACTTTAGTTGTTGACCTTGTCTTGATACAACATTATCATTTCTCTAGATTCTTCCACAGCAATTTCGTCGCGAAGAACTGACCGGTTGGTATTTGGACATTTTCCATTAGCTGTATAAGAGACCACTAAGGTCGACTGCTGTCGTTTTAATTTGAAGGAAATAATAGACATGTGCTAGAGATGTAGTATAAAATATTTGTGTGTTTATATGCAACTTTCTTATAATACATGAGACCACTTTCGAACCATTTGAGTTCTCGAGTGAAATTGATCGATACCCGTGTGGTATGCCAACAAGGCATAAGGTATCTGCCACCGCCGTAGTATTAAGTGGGTCTCCGCCCGTTGTGAAAGTAAACCCACGGTGCCAAACCTTCTTCATTCATGGCGGACTCCATGTCTGTTAATGTCTTCTGTTCCTTCTTCAGTTGGCCACCACAATAACATGATTTTATGTACACCCAATTTATATTTTTAGATTTTTGTTATACTACTGACCATGTATTTTCACGTAAAAAAAAAAATGGTAAAAGAAAGCTGAATACTAGTTCAAGTACAAATATTCAGCTGAGTACTGATTACTGGGTCAAAGTAAACTTACCAATATGTTATTATTAATACGAAAGTTATACAATTTTAATGTACTTGAACTATATTTTTTTTATGATTTGGAAAAAAATTCAAAAACAAATTATTTTCAACAAAACTTGAGTTAAATAATGCAATCAGGAGGCTTAATTAGTTATTGATTTTGACATTTTGGTTATAAATCCTGTAGTTTATCTTCAACACAAATGATTCCTTTAGTTTTTGAAAAAAAATTAATGATAATCTCATTGAACTATATACGTCATTGTTTATACAAAACTGTAAGTCTATCGTGTGTTTGTATAAGTTTTGCATAGCAATTTCGTCAGTCATGCGTGTGGATAATAATTTACACAGTTTTAACATGCTGAGAGTGTAATTTTGTTCGTCTTAATGATCAATATGTTAATTATTCGACCTCTTCTGGTGAACAGTTATTGTGTGGGAAGCCACAGTTATTGACCAATAGATATTTCATAGTCAATAGAATTTAAAGCACGACATTTAAGCTTTATTTTAGCTTTAATTTTCTACGTTTTAAAAGTTGCTAACAAAATAAAAAAATTGAAAAATTATTTATACCGTATTTAATTTTTTTTTTTTTTGTTTTAATAAAAGAGAGTAAAATTTTATCTAGTGGAGTATACAATTAAACCAAATAACAATAATGATAGTCATTCAATCACTGGTGAGGAAAATGAGAAGAAATTTAACTGAATCAAAAATAGTTGCTAGTTCAATTGAATCGTTTTTGATCTACCAAAATCTTTCGATTAAGCAGTATTATTTCGTTTTATTCATAAATAAAAAATCTTCATAAATCACATGATAACAATGATAATAAAGATGTTTGACACATTACAAATTTAATGCACTTAAAAAAAACATTCTTAGGCGATACGTTAATTAGTGTTCATACAGGTAAAAATGGTTTCAGTACGTGATTACTTATTTTTAAATTAAGATGTGTTTTTGCAGAGGTACTCAGATAATTCATAGGAAAAGAGTAAAAGGCTGCATTTGAATAGTAATTGAATTATTGCAAACAATAACTGATGTAATAAAATTAACAAAACTATGTACATTTTTATGAATTCTGATTATGTAAAAGAAATGCTGGGAAATGAGATGTTAATATTTTTATTATAATTCATTTCTCTACGGTTAAAATTATTAATGACAACAAGATAAAAATTATAATCATACTATTTTAATTTAATACAAATTACCAAGGTTCAACGCATTTCAATTAGTACAACTCTTACTCAATTATTACACTTGAAATTACTGATAATCAAATAATAACCTATCAAAGGTAATCAACAATTACCAAATTGCATCTTAAAGTAGAAAGGAAATTGCTTTCAATTTTGAAATTACACGTATAGACTTAAAAAGATATATTATTTAAATGTATTAGTCAATACTAATTATTTATGGCGTATGAACTTTAACTTGAAGGTTAATACATTACGGTAATGCACAATAATATTTTGTTTAGGTGCACATTTTTTTTTTTGGCACTGTAAGATTTGATAAGAAAGGATCCTGTTGTTTATTTAAAAATAGACTGTATCTACGAAATTATAAGATTGCTAATCTTTTGAACACTTGCTTAAATATTTTAACATAGTTGTCTTGATGAATAATTGTATGACAAACAGCGGTGAGCCGATTGCATTTCTCAAAAATAGTATTGAACTTGGTGATGTGATTCTAACCCACCATAAAATTAGTTTATATTTAGAGGCGTCCAAAATGTAAAAGCATAATTCACATTAAAGAAAAAGAAAATCGAGTTATGCGAATTATCAATTAAAAAATTACAAAATTTACTGTTTAATTAAAAAAAATTCTCACTAAAACAGTTCTTTTGATGATAAGTTATGTGTTAAAATTATGAATTAACTTCATTTAAAATTTATGTTTCAGAAAAGTATAAAAAGATATTTTTTGATCGTTGACTCTTAATTATCGAAAAATAAACGTAATATTGACAGTTTTATTTATGATATTTTATAGTTAAATGTTTTTCTCAATTTATCAACTATTATGTATTTTTCATATTCTTCCCTTATATATTATAAGGATGTCAATTAAAATTTTTCAAATGGTAGCAAATATCTTTATCTAGCTTATTCTTTAAATGATCATCTAATTAAGAAAATAACGGGTTGATAAGAACTTTTGAACTAGTACTTCAGAAGTTATTAAAATTTTTATACCTTTTTATAGACAGGAAGAGAGCGATCTAAACATTTTTAGTGATAAAAATAAAAAATATGCTACTCTCCACCAGCCGAAACCATAAATTGTTAAAAACTTTTGAAACACTAGTTATTATTGACTAGTCATTTTTTAAATTGGATCATTATTTAATGATAAGTAAACTAGATAAATTTGTTTATTAACATTTGAAAATATATACCAACACCCTTATCATGTACAAGTGAATAAGTTAATTTTAGATTATATATCCCACAACATAAATATAATACTTGTTTAAAAAATTTAAGTTATATAAATATTATTAAGGCCATCAACACAATTTGGTAAATTATTGAAATAAATGTTAAATTAAAATTAAATTGAATATTTATGTCTTTTGTTTTTCTTTCTTTTTGTTCTTTTCTATTTTCTATTATTTGTTATTATTATACCCTGAAATTTATTAATTCATAAATATAAAAACTTTATTTTAAGTATATCGAAAAAATTTTTAATTCACTCAGTCCAAGCATAAGCCATGCTTATTGGAGGGGTATCAAATATTTTTATTATTTACGTTCTATAAATTTTTTTGTTTATTTTTTTTTTTATTTGGTAAAATATACTCATTATTATTATAATGAGGAATAAACATCAAAAATAATTTATTAATAATTGATTAATTGAGAAAAAAATGTAACTTAAATAAATCATAAATAAAATGTTCAATATTATATTTATTTTTGCAGTTAATTACTCGAAAAATAAATATCATTGATCATTTAATTAGCGGTCAATGATAAAAGAATTATTGTAATTGTGTATTAAATAGGCGAAAAAATACATAATCTTAATTAGTTATTAAAATTATTACTTTTTTGTGACTCCAAAGTGCATTCACACTAGGCTTGCCTCGACGAAAGTCTGATTGATCTATAACGTCGTCATGTATTAGAGAAGCTGAATGTATCATTTCTGCGATCATAGCAACTTCTCTTTGACTTTTACTCAAAACACTGCAATTATAAGAAAAATATTAAAATATGGAGTAAAAAAAATTGTTGAGCTTGAATGTTTAGGACTGAATTAGAGAAAAATATTTAAGTATTTTTACGGTATTGAATTTTCAAGAAAATTGTTTAAACATTGTGATTTGTTAAGAATATCATTCTCAATTTTTTAGTTAAAAAAATTTTTTTCACATACTAATCAACATATTATGAATTTGTTAATTTTTATAAATAAAAGTAATTATTAGGTTAATTATAAAAAAAATTACTTTTATGAGTATACTTTAGGGTAAATTAAAAGAGAACCTATTATAATTTTTGTACTGTTGACTGGAATATAATATACATAAAATTTTGACTGGTTGATAAATAATATTGTATTATTACTGTTTGCTATTGTAATTTTTAGTTATGGACGAGAAGGGTGTGCAATATAGAAAAATTCCTATTTGTATATTAAACTAAATAAATAGTGTTTCTACACATTACCTCGCTTCTCACTTTTCAAAATCTTTAAATAGTAATATCTCAAAAAGTAATATTACCAATTTGGTTATTGACCAATCAACATTTTATAAAGACCATTCTTCATTTAATAATTAAAAAATAATAAGTTCCTATTTAATTTAGATAGATACCCTAAAATCTCCTATTCTTAGAAATAAATTTTTTTTTAAATATACTTGATAATTATTATAGTTTATACAAATAAGTTAAATTTCACTATATAAAATGTTCAGTAAGTAAGGAAACGGGTTTATATTTTACTTATTTTTTTTAAACAATTGACCTGTTTCCTTAGTTGCTTATTTCCTTAATTTGTTTCCTTATTTGTATACATTTTTATGAAAAAATTATTGTTTAACGAAAAAATCTTGTGTCCAAGTAATTATTTTGTTTTTATAACATTAAATTGAAGTTAAAAAATTGTATAGATGAGTAAACATTTTCTATTTCTTTTTTTTATTTAACTATTGAACATTGCAGAATTACATTATTTAATTTATTAGGGCTTTTAATTTTTTAAAGAATTTTAAAAAGTATAATTAAAAAAAATAAATTTATAACTTGACCACTTATTACACGACGACGATAATGTGGAAAATTATATTTAATAAATATGATGTTTTAAAAAAATAGGAACTCATTAAAAATAAAAAACTACCTCTCTATCAATTTGTTTAATAATATACTAATGCAACGTTAGTGACGATGGAAAAATATATATATTATTACAATATTTTGTATCTCCTTACAAAATTAGTATGGAAATCAAGTATTTTGAGAAGTAAAATAATAAAAATATATAGAATTTTTGCCGTTAACGAGTTTTTGCTTTATTAATATGTTTACACCTATAAATTATCTGTTAATAAGTTGTATAATAAATATGATTTAATTAATTTATTAATAAAAGATCAATTAATGAACGAAAATAATTATGTTTTATCTAATAAAAATAAACAATAATGTTTAATAAAAACATTTAATTATACATATATTATTTCTTTCAATTATGAATTTTCTAAGTCTGTTTTATTTTTTATTGACATTTTAAATATATTTCTTAGAGAAGTTATGATGAAATTTTGTTCAATATTACTAAGTCGCGTTGATGTTCTTACAATATAAATATCAATAATTAATTCGAATTTGAACTCTGATCATAAATCCTTTTTCTAAGACCATGTCAAGGACAACTTGTGCCTAATATACCATTCCTGATATTGGTTAAATATTTTTTGAATTCCATTCGATGAAATTTGCAGACTAATTAAAAAAATATTAATAATAATTTGTTTAAGGAAAATTTTAGATTTCGTTTTTTTTTCTGTTAGAAAAAAAACATTATTTTTAATTATTGTAGAGTAATTTTATTAAAACAAATAAATAATAATATTGAAAAAAAAAACAAGAGATATATTTGTAAATTTCTGCTTTCTAGTAAAAACCTAGGCTTAAATTTTTTTAAGACTGAGATTATATGTATCATTTAAGATTACTTTAATATTAGTCTATCCATGATGATTTTTCTTATTAATCAGGTTATTTAGTAATTATTCATTGAGAAAATTATAATTTATAGATAAAAACACTATTCAGGTGTTACACTAAATTCATTTATGAAAAATCTAGTATAAAAGAGTCATAAAAAGAGAAATATTAGTCTTTCGAGTAACATGAAAATTAATAAAGTTTTAAAAATAAAAAAACTAAATGGTTCCTCAATTTAATTGCTTTATAAATATTTAATTTTCCAGACTTTTAATTGCATTATATTGACAATTTTTTTTGGTCAATTCCGATCCTTTTTGCACAGAGTGTTTCATATTTTTAACAGTTTACAAATAATAAGAAAAAAAAATCAAGAACAAGATGACAAAACAAATAGAAGATAACATTATAATTTTAATAATATAGAAGTTAGTTACTTATTGTTGGTGTGGTAATTTATGGCATGTGACATTAGAATGGCTACCATGGGTCTTAGGGCTTTGCCTTGCCCATCGAAATAATACGTAGCTATCGTTCGTAACTCATCTTCATTACTATTCAATTCTAGTTCCTGAAAATTACACATAATAAAATATTAATTCTACATAAAATTATCAATCATTACAGTGTTATTAATCTATTTACCCATTCCGAGGTCCGTTAATGAAATTTAATCAACTAAAAGTAATCATCTTTAAAATTTATTAACGATTGTTATTGAAGTATTTACAGAAACCCGACTTAAATATTTATAAAATTGCCACTCCTTATTAAAATATAAAAGTTCAATAGAAGTACATAATATTAGTGACTATCCATAATTTAATTTGAAATAATTCTTCAAGATGAATATATAGACACAAAAGGGCTACAGCATTAAACTTTACCTTTTTAAAGCATTTGTTTAATAAGTAGAGGTCACACCTCCAAAAAATTAGCAAAACACTGACCTTTCTTATGTCTACATATACGTCTTTGAGGTCGTCCTCCAGTAACCTGTATGGGTCAACGGTGGATAGTGAATCTGTATCTGTGTCATGGAGTGTAGAAAAACGCAGATTCCTCTGGTGATCCGATCTGATTCGGTTCAACTGTTTCTGAAAACAATTAAAATATATTTATTTAGTTTTTACTCGAATTGACTAAAAGCCAATGTTATTAATTTTAATTTAAATATAAAATTAATCATTTTTAATTTCTAAGTACATAAAGCATTTTTATGAAATTACGACCGGTTTCTATAGCACATACATTTATTATATACTTTCCATCCTGCAGGCATTTGACCCTCTCATCAGATAAGTGGGACATGACCGAGATACATAATATTAATCGCATCAAAATTGTGTTGCTCCTGGGGCCTCGAGGAAGCTGCGCACCATTGTTAAGAAGAGGCGATAGAACAAAATCTATAATGATTTTTTCTGTTTTAATAACGAACGAGTTGACTTTGAAACCACAAAATTTTACTTTTGATAAAATTCTAGTATTTCTTCTAATGTTTAAAAAAAATTTTTGTAAATTGAAAATAAAAAATAAATTTATGTTAAGAACATTGCGGAGAACAATAATAAGACTGACATATACAAATAATTAAATATAATTTGTAGCTACATAGGGCAATAACATTAATTTAACAAAACCAGTTGTACAAAACATGTCGTCATATTAAGAAATTTTCAAGTCACAAGAATGTAAATTCCAAACATTTCTAAATATATGAAATCCAACAAAAATAGAAAATTCGTATAGTATTCATAGTATATTTTATGCAGTTATATGTTCTATGTTTGAGTATCAATTGTTTTCCTAAAAACTATTCCTAAAACGTTTAGTCAAAGGAAAACTTTCGAAATTAAAATAAATATTAACAACGAAGATAATACTATTATTTAAAAAATAAAAATAAATCACTGCTTAGTCAAAATTTGAATTAGTTATATTTTAATGTCCTTTGAATTTGTTAATTTGAATTGCATAAAAAATCATATTAAAATGTCACATATGATCATCGAGAAAATAAATAGTAAAATAAAAGGTCATAAAACTGTGTTATTTATTTACTAGAGATTAGAAAATTATTTAAATTTATTAACCAATTGCAGTACTTATACAATGTTAATTGACTTGTTAACTGTTAACGAAACGTATGAAAACTTTCAACGAAAATTCGGAATTATGTGCTAAAAAGAAATTTTTCAATTCTATACAAGTTTTAAACAGATGCAGGTTATGATTTTATCTTGAGTAAAAATCATACCAGACATGATGGTAATTAATTCATAAATAGAAAGAAAACCATTCTGACTGTCAGAAACAAATTAATTTCGTAAAAACCTAACACGAGAGTTCGACATAATTCATTAAAATGTTCTTTTTTTAGAATGTTTTTTAAATCTTAGATTCAATTGCCGCGCTTTCTAGCCTCGGATACTGCATAGAAACACACACGTATGCAACAGTGCGTATCCGATGACGATTCGTGTACTGGTTTAAACAATAACGCGAACCACAAGGCCACGGCACGACGATACGCGGCGAAGTTCAACTGCCTCGTTGAAAGTTGCGCAACACACTTTTAGCGGATATCCAGTTGTACATAATAGAAATATTGTTTTTTGGGATTAATGAACTTGATGTTTTGAAAACGTGTACAATCAAATCACTACATAAATGACTGGAATAATTGATTAATTTTATTCTACAGAAAATTCATACAAAATTGTTCGATTACATACCATCTAATTAATAATTCAATAGTGTTTTATAACAAAATTATACCAAAAACTTAAATTTAAAATATCTCAAGATATTCTGGTCGATTCTACACACATTGTGTCGTCATAATAGATTTAATACTGCAGTACTAATTCAACAAAAGAAAAAAAGCATTACATCCATTATGTAAGGGATAAATTTGAAAAAGAAACGGGAATAATTTTTCTTTAGTTATTTTTTAATCGGCGTTATTTTACTCACTATTCACTACGTTTAAATTAGCTGCATGTCAGTAACGCCAAAATTTTTCGAACAAAAAGATACATGTAAGAGTGTCGCATACCAATTTAGCCGCGTGATATATAACGGTTTCAATGGTTGCGGTATTCGATAATTTTTTCTCTTTATAATTTACCGTGCACACATTTTTCGTTTAAAGTTGAATGAATTAAGCTAATGGATGCATAATTAACATCCGCTCATTAATGTGATAAATGTTTAAGTAACATAATTTTGCATTTGAAAACAAACATATTATTTTCAACATAACATCAATTTAAATGAAAAATGCGATAAATATCGACTTGTGGTTGATCATTTCTTCTGATACAAATAGTAAATAGAATGATTCGAAGTAGATCAAACAAAATTTATTAAGTGAAATTCAGAAAAACATATTAACACAGGAGTCGAATGTGTTAGTATTTTATTTTTGTGGATAACTTTTGTTTTAATTTTAACTACACTAAATCAGTGCAGTTTGTTTTGTATTTTTTCGCCGTGAAATTTTTTCAGTAAATTATCCTAGGTCAAGTTGAAATAAATATAACTTTATGTATTATGAACTAGTAATCTGATAAATTTACTGATAACATTTTGTAATTAATTAATTCAAATCTTTACAACTATAATTATACAATTAATTAATATTATTGTACTCCTAAATTCCGACTAGATATCGATATACTAATAAAACTGTTGTCATCATTCCAATGTGAAAGCTACAACAATCTATTGGTTGGCGTACATGATTAGGGTAATAAAAATAATTACCCGATCCAGCTTTATTAAAAATATGCTTTGGTTGTATTACATTCTCTTTCATATCCATAAAATTTTAATGGAAATAAATTTAATAGCAGAATTGTCTTATTTTTTTTTTTAATGTACATACACATTTTACTAATTAGTGCAAGAAATAGGTCATCAAAAATGAATATCATAGTAAATGTACATTAAACAATTTTGTTTTATCAATTATAAACATACAAATCATACACTACGATTTCAATTATAATGTATGTAAATTTAGATTTATTATTATTTAATTGAATAAATAATCATGTTAGCATTGAGATTTTTATCTAAAAATCTTAAGAAAAAATGTCAAAATCAATAATATAATTTTTCTTTTAATATTCAAGTAATTAATGCTGCGAGTTGATTTTTGGCAAATTTTAAGAACACAAATTATCTAGAAAACATTATGCTTAGAGAAATGATTATGAACGACATGTATAAAACATTAGTGTAGCTACTAAAACATTCCCAAGCTAAGATTTTAGTGAGCTGCAGTAAAATAATAACAACTATTGTTTTTCGACTTGGGGTTTCTTTTTTATTATGAAAAAATATAATGTAAAGTATATTTTACAAATATCAGTTGATTAGCTAAACGCAAAAGAGGTAAAGTCAATGAAAAGAAACGCCAACCGGTATTTTTTTCCGATTGGCCTCGATTTGCACATGCACCGCAGACTGCCGGACGATATGACACATTCCTGAGCGTTCCTTCGCAATGTCCACATGAGTAAGCGCTCACGTAAAGCCAACAATACAACAACGAAATCTCTAGGAGGGGACCCCCTGGCGAAAGAAAAAAGAGAGACATAGATAAGGTAAAATGTATAAAAGAAATTTGTTCAACCCGTAGGTAAGAATGGTTCACAAACATAAACATAAAAAATTATGGATATTGCAACGGGGTAAAATTCGATTGCACACATCTGGAAGAATAGAAAATTATTTAGTTATTAAAGGTTAGTTAGTATTAATCGAATAGTAAAACAAAATTTGAACGAAAAATTAAGTTGATACAATGTTATATAGAATGACACAACACAAAAATAATATAGTAATTTTTTGATTTTTGAGGAAATAATATTATGATAAGAAAATATTAATTTTAATATTGTCGTGTTCTTTTATTTGCTTTTTAATTACTAGGATTACTTCAATAAACTTAAAATTATACACTTGCATAATAATTGAATGACATTCATAGATTTTTATGTATTACTAACGACATTAACCGATGATCCAGTCATTAACTTTTATTAAACATCAAAAATAATATTTTTTAACATATAAGTTTTGTTTGGAGCAACTCTATTTAATGGTATACTTTGTTGGTTATCTACAATATAATACGATTTCTTCAGATTTTAGCTAGACAAGTGGTAGATACTTTTCAATAAAAATATAATTGAACTATCGACTGTAGTATCTGACAAGTGAAGCAAATACTTTAAGTGTGATATCCAGTGGTGCGCACCAGCGTATATATGAATTATTCAACGTGACTTCTATACCATGGGCGACATACTACTGTAAAAGCTACCGGAACTTTATCAAACGTTTGACATTATGATTTGGATTTCGAAAACATTAATTTTTATTCATAGCACGGTCAAATTTGTGAAATTTTTTTTTTATTCGACTCACATGTTAAGCTTAATCTATTAATGCGTATAAAGATTATATACTCTTGAAAATAATAGTTATTTTATTATATAGCGAGTTATCGTACTAGACGAAAGAAAGTCAAGTATACTTCTATTTAGAAACAAATTAAAAAAAATATTCTTATACTGGTAATGTATTAGATATTTCTGTACGGATTCTGCTTCATAATCTCATTGCATAATATTATGAAATCTATATGATGTTTACTTAAAAATTTAAGTTCACGATTGAGGATGATGGATACTAAGTAACAACAAAGAACTCAAACATAATTTCATTATGCAAGTATTTGTTTTGTATATTAAGTAAAAAGAAAAAGAGAAGATAGGATAAGAAATGAACATATTAGGGGGAGTATAGGTGTAGCGTCAATAGTGGATAAGATGAGAGAAAATAGACTTAGATGGTTTGGTCATGTTATGAGAAGAGAAGAATTGGAAGCCGTAAGAACAGTTATAGAAATGAATGTTGAAGGAAGAAGAGGTAGAGGAAGACCAAAAAAAGAGATGGAGAGATGTTATTGAATGCGATATGAGGACAGCTGATGTGAGCGTAGAGGATGTGGGAGATCGTATCAAGTGGAAGTTTAGGATAAGGGTGGCCGACCCCAAGTAGTTGGAATTAAGACGAGGAAGAAGAAGAAGATATTAAGTAAAAAGAGTCAGTTATTTTTTTTATTTACTATTAGATATAAATTCGACGTCTTTAACGAATATGACACACACGATTTGGATGTTCATTAACCAAAACTTTCATTGATTTTATTATATTTATTGAATCTCCTAAAAATTGAATATCAATTTATAGAAATTATTTCGAAATAGTGTAGTAGTGATAATGCGCATATACGCGATTAAATTAGAGTTTTAAACATGTAGGTATTTATGTCGGATGAGAGGTCACTGTTATCTAGATCGGATAATACAAAATATCAGTGGTTCATCAAAGGCATCAGAATTTTGGGTAAAGAACAGCAATTTTTATCACTTTTGCTTATCTAAGTAAAACACATTTGAACTTTACAATGTTTAAGATTGAACATGACGAAAAGAAAAAATATAAAGTATTGTACTACTTAACAATTTTGGTAATTTGAAAATAATACAATGTTTTATGAATTGTATTTTTCCATGCAATATATTTAAAGACATTTGTAAAGAGTAATCGTTAGGGTTGTGGTACCAAATTACTTTGTAGCGGACATCCTGGACCGGTTTTACTAAACGTAAATATACGCACTTGTACTTTCACCCAATCTTTCGTACAAACCTATACTTTGGTACATACAACAATCTCTCACTCGTAAGTGTAAAATCACCTAAACTAAACCAAGGTCAATTATAACCTAGATATTTGTCAGCAATTAAACATTATATTACTCATTTTCTCATAAAATGTATCGTCCGTTTTTCAATATGGTTCATAATTATTAGGAACTATTATGTTATTAGGGTTTTTAACATATATTAGAATTAAATAGGATATCGCTTAAATAAAATAAATATTATTTGAATTATTGAAAAAGCTAAAGAAAATAGTGCTCTTCGTTCAAATGACCATGAAATTGTCGGTAAATGAGGATAAGGTAATCAGTTACCAAATATTTAGTAAATTTAAAAAAAGTAAAAAAGTATACTAAATGATAAGATATTCACATTTTTTATAATTAATTATTTAATTTTATAACTCATTAGTAAAATGATTACACAAGAAATGACTTCGATACAGAAAATTAATGAACTACTTTTTTTTAAATACAAAAGAACATTTATATAGCGTGGTTTTAAATAGAAACTTCTTAGAAGGAACTGAATGACAGCACAGGTCAATATGAAGGAATTTCAGAATAGTTTCCATGCCTGAAATATTAGTATTTATGTTTATAATTACACTTGAGACGTTTATGTATTCTTTCTAGAGAGAAAAAGTACTTACCGTGTTAGAAAAGAATTAGTTAAATGACAGTAAAATAGGCGATGTCACAGAATCAAAAACAATATTGTGGGGTCATAATTTAAAATAAAATCTCTCAATTTTTATTTATAAGATAGACTATCAAAATGGAAACTAAAGAACGGATGTTAAGTAACCACATTTGGTAGTTTCTTATAGAAAAATTGTATTAGTTCTTTGTTAAAATAAATCTAAAGGCATTATTTTTTTATACTTCCTAGTAGACGAGACGTCTACAGTCCATCACGTAAATTATTATTTGATTTCCCACTGGGACAAAGTAAAGACGGAATTTGCCGTCGTACTTTAAATATTTGGACATGGTCTGGATTTAGTGTGAAGTAAAGAAAATCAAGGTGATATACATTTAAAGAGAAGAAATAAGTAGGGGAGGGCGATGGACCAGGTTGCCGACCTTGATTAACGGTCTCAACGTCAGCGACCGACAATATTTTTTATTTATTTTTTCTATTTATTTTAGTAGGCCAGTAACACCACGACTAAAACTGGTTCGCACTGATGAAGCCTCTTTTTGATCGCCGTCATCAATAACATTGGTGTTTGCTAGAAAGTTGTACAGCCAAAACAACGCAAAACGTCACAAGGACGAATCATATAACAGACTGATCTATGCTTTTAAGTCCTTTTTGAATGATACTAGAAAAGGTTTAACCCTTTTTGTGTCTACAAATTACAAACTATCAAGGTCGTTAACTCAATTTATTACCAAGTTTTAAATTATTACTATTAATATATGTGTAAACTCTTTGAACTTATATCATCTTTTTTAATACGCCAATAACAACTTTTTTTTTCAATTTTGTCAATTTTCATATAAGAGAAAAATTTCGTAATATACACCTAATACAAACAAACTAATTTAGTTTTCTTTAAATATAAAAATGAAATATTTTTTATTATTTGTATAAGCTACTACGGTAATAAGAAAAACACATTTCTAGAAGATGAAATGTTGGAGCATAAAAACACTTAGTTACCATATTTTTCACAGAGCTTAACATAAGTTCTCTTTTATATTTTTTTGAAAATTTTGTAAAAATGTTGAAACACAAGAAGCTCAAAACTCTATAGTAATAATAGCACTCTTGAAATTTTGAATCACTTATGGCTTTAAATTTAAAATTTTTCTAATCAATCATAGATATCATATTTAAATAATAAATCAGCACTCAAAATTAACCAATATTTGTTATTAAAAATTATATTTTTACTCGATTTTCATAAAATATTTTAAAATTCTATACTGTAAGTAGTTGTTTATAGTTTAACACTATCTTTTGAGTATTATTTATTTTATAATAAAAGGAATGATGTATGTTTTTTAATGATGTATTATACACAAAAACACACACATATATGTATATAAAATAAGTTTGATGTTTAAAAATATTGTTTTCAGTTGAAAATATATTATACAATTTAATGGATAATGAAATATGCCAAATATAATTTTTTTTAAATTATTTCTTAGGAAAATTACTAAAAATTATGTCAAGTTAAATTAATAAGCTCAATTAAGTGTAATAGTATGAATAATGGAAGTTTCTTGCACATTTAAGAAATTAAATTTATAAATAAACATTAAAAAATAATTTAATGTAAATAAGAGTTTAAAACATAAAATTAAAAAAATTATTTAACAGTCTACCTGTTATTATATATCAATGTATGCTAGGTTTCATCATTTATTACTATTGGAATTTAAACTTAATATATTAACAGTAAATTTTGTAGTATATAGAATATTGCTTAAACTCTGTACATTTAAAACAACTTTTAACTTAAGTGGGAAGTTGAGACGGGGTTAATTTTACAATAATTGTGAAATTAACACCTTATCAAATGTCAATTATTGATATTTCAATTGTGTTCCATAGTGATAACTATATATATTTCTATTGGTAATTTTTAAATACTTACGGGGGAATTATAAAGTTTAAAAAAAAAAAAAAAAAAAATTATATCTAATATATAAATGAAAAAAAATTATTAAGATTTTTAATGGTCATAAATACTAAATATAATATTTATCTTGATTTCAATATTTTATTTTTTAATTTACAAAATTGAAATTTTAAGTAAGTTGTAACATGAAAAAATTGTTCATTCTTGTCTATCATCTTTATTGTTTTGAAATAGAAAATGAATAAACATTCAAGAATGCTTGAGAATTATACTAGGAGATTAGCCAAAACAAATAAAAATATGCATCGTCTACCTGACGAACTTGACAAAGTTATTGAAAAGACCTTGAAGGGATTTTTTGGGATTTTACTGCAGCTGATTATTTAATACTAATTGAGCTTCTTTTGTACTAACCTGGTAACATTGCAATGTCCGGTCAAGCCGCTGCCCAAAGGGTAATGGGGACGTGGATAAAGCTTCGTGATGTTTACTTCTAGACAACTTGCTCACGAGCTTGTCGATACTGGCGCGAACGCACAACCGAGCACCGGACGTTAATCGCGAAGCCATGTCACTTGAGCGTGTTCAAAAACATCGGCGATCGGACCGTTTGTAACCTACTGGTCAGCTCCACACACGGACACTGTTCCACCGGCAACTGTTGCCTCTATTCATAACGGAACATTCACGGGGCATGTTGGGGATCTCTGAGATCACTTTTTCACTTTTCCCTACTGTTTTCTTATCATTAAGCAAGTAGCCCGCTCAGCTACAGCTGGTAATTGTTTTTATGGCCGGCAGAATTGATAAAAATCAGTATGGGTACTATTTTCAGAGTAAAATCATCTACAAGCCACACTGTTTTATATGTGTGATTATTATTATGATTCATTATTTCGTTTTTGTCAACTTTTATCAGCTGTTTTTATCATTTCAAGTGCTTCAATGATAACAAAACAAAAACAATAATAAAATCGCAATTAAAAAGAAACACTTATAATAACATTGACTTCCTACAAAGAAAACTTTTGTTCGTTGGTTATTAAAATTCGGTAAACAAGTAGAGTATGCTTTAAAAAATGGAATGTCAAAAACCTAGAACTCGTGCTTCTTCAAAAATTAAACAGTTACCTAAAGTATTTATTTTTGTTTACAATAAATAATTTAATTATTCACTAATATTTAATTGTTAATTTGTTTAATAGTAATGAATTACGACGCATTATAGATTATAGAATTATGTATTTAACAATCATGAACATTAAAGTTTTTATGTGATAGTGGCAAGCCAGAATTTCACATAATGCATAGGGAGAATTTTAAAAAATATAAAAAATTCCATATTTTAGATTGTTTTTTTCTTCGTTTCAGAGTTAAATATTGCTGTCAGTGGGGAAGGGGTGCATAGCTCCCCTCACCCCCTGATTAATTCACTCAGATATGATCAATCAATTAATTATTAATTTCAAATTAATTTTCAGTTTAGATTTGAAATGATTTATTCGATTTTTAAAATGAAATAGTCTATTTATGGACATTAAAAGCAATACAACCAAGTATTGGTCATAAAATATGTAATCTGAATATTTTTATTCTGTAATTTCAACCTTGAAATTTACTTTTATATTTTTTAGACTATTAAATTTTTCTATAATATTATTATACTTAATAAATTAGTTAGCTAAAAAATCAGACTTTAAAATTAATTCTTCTTCTTCTTCTTCTTCCTCGCTCACATCAGCTGTCCTCATATTGCATTCAATAGAATCTCTCCATCTCTTTTTTTGGTCTTCCTCTACCTCTTCTTCCTTCAACATTCATTTCTATAACTGTTCTTACGGCTTCCAATTCTTCTCTTCTCATAACATGACCAAATCATCTAAGTCTATTTTCTCTCATCTTATCCATGATTGACGTTACACCTACACTCCCTCTTATATACTCATCATTTCTTATCCTATCTTCTTTAGTCACCCCATTCATCCATCTAAGCATTCTCATCTCTGCTCTACTTTCTTATTAACCGCTCAACACTCTGAACCATACATTATAGCTGGTCTCACTACAGTCTTATAGAATTTACCTTTCAGCCTCATAGGAATTCTTTTATCGCATAAGACACTAGACGCTTCTCTCCACTTCAACCACCCGCACTTAATCCTGTGTCTTACATCCTCATCAATACTACCGCTCTTTTGCACAACTGTTTAAAATTAATTATTAATAGGTAAAATATTTAAAAATACTAAAAAGTGAAGCTTTATTTTTTAGGTTTATTTTTTTTCTATACTTCATCGTTTTGAAAAATTTCAATAGTTATTATTAATATTCTATTTATGTTAAGCTTTAAATTTTTAAAATGTATTTCTTCATTTTATTTTTCTTTCTGTTTCTATATTATAGAAGAAAATCAAAGAACCTGAACATACTCAGGACAATGTGCTATCTATTTCAGTTGAAAATGTAGAAAATGCTCTTCATGAAGCATTTAAAGATATCAGCGTTAGCAATGAGCATATTGATGTAATATATAGTGAATTAGATAATCAACAGGAATGCCTAAATAATGTAATAGAGTATCAACAAAATTTAGAAACCAATGTTAAACTTAGTAGTAATTTTGAAATAACTGAAAATTTGACTGTAATACCATCATCAATTCCTTGTTCAGTCGGTTCTCTACCAACACCATGTGCACCAATATTAGAAGATATATGGTCACAAACTGATGTAACATGTAATTTTGAACCTTTAAAACCTTTTGATGAACAGGAACTGGCTAGTTATTATCAAAATACATTGCTTACAAATGCATATGAATATATAGAAGAATTTAACTCTATAGAATTAAAAAACCTTCAGACTTGTGAACATCCATTATATATAATGTTAGAAGATTATTTGCGAGCTAGATTAAAGGTAGAGAGTTGTAAAATTGAAATTAATGAGTCCAAAATCTTACATGTAACACATGAGAATCATGTTTGGACATTGGAACCTGCTATGTATACTCAATACGGAGAGTGTAAGGTAATTTCATAGATTCAACTTTTATACATATACAGAGTATCCCACTTAATTACTTACAAAATAAAAATAATTTTTTTCGCCGATTTTTTTAGTTACATATATTTCTTAATTAATCAAGTACTTTTTTGGTTCATCACAATAAAATATAAGGGTGTCACTTAACTTTTTTGAATGATAATATACATATATAACTAGCTTATTAAATATTAAATGTTTCTCTGATTAAGAAAATTACAATCCAATAACAAATTATAGATCAATATCTCAGAAGTTCTTAGTATTTTAAAATATAGAGTGGTGATGAAGCATGGGAGTAATAATGTTTTTGTTATTAAATATTTCTCAGCTGCACTTTGCTCTTGTCTAGGTATAATGATGTAAATAAATTCTGAGGTACTAGTCCATAAGTTGTTATTGGGTTGTCATTTTCTTAATTAGATCATTTTCTTTTTAATAAGCTAGTGAAATATGTATGTATTATCATTCGAAAAAAATTAAGCGAGACACCATTATATTATATAGGTGATGAACCAAAAAAGTACTTAATAAGCCAAAAATTATTTTACAAGTAATTAATTGGGTTTTGATAAACAGATTACTTATTTATATATTTTCTTTGTTATAAATGATAATTGATTTTTTAAAGTAATTTTCAAGCATACAAACTATCTATTTTTTCTGCTGTATTGCTTAAATATTTTATAAGATTATCAAGTTATTTTTATTTAAAAATTAATTATAAGAAAAAAATTTTAAATTAAAATAAAATACCAGTATAAAGTTTAAAGAAATTGTTCACAGAAAAACCTTTGGGATATGTGTTATTATATAATGAATACTAAAGAACTGAAAAATATTTAAAAAATGAGTTTATAACCTTTTTGAATAAAGGTGCTTTCAATTAATTTTTTATTCAAGATCTTAATAGCTTGGTTGTGTCTCATTTAAATTCCCTATTTTGACTATAGAAATTTCTATTTGTAATAATTTTTGTTTTAAGTTAAAATACTTTAGTATAATTCATTTTTCTTTTAATCTAGGATGGCAATCCAGTATCTTCAACAAAAGAATATCAAATATCAAGGTTTAATGAAAAAGCTTTTGATAATCTACAAAAATCATTGCTAAAGTTACAAAGTTTAATTTGTAGTTATTATGAATATCTTTATGAATGTCAAATGATCAAAGAGAAAGTACATAAATTGAATATTTTAAAGATATGATTGCATATTTATCCTATAATTTCAATTTTTAATATACCTATTTTCAGATAAATTATTATTTGCATCAATTATGTGAACCATTTTCCACAATTTCTATTAATACCCCAGTAGGTCTTTTTTTAAATTCTGATGTTCGTGCTCCAGATGGTAAAAGTCTTCATCATTGTATACACGATCTCAAAGTTGCTATATCAATTTTGTTTGCATATCAAAGAAAGTCCATTTGTGACAAAATATTCATTCGGGATACTAGAGAGCTATTGCAAAAAACTGTTAGTCTACTGCTTCGAGTAGCTTCTTGGAAAGATCATATTTTTATTTTAAATCATATTTTGAGGTAGTTATAACTTTAATGTCATTATTAAATAAATGGTGTGAACTTTTGAATTTTATTAGGTGTCCATCTGGTGTTGGAAAATGGGCGAGTTCTTTCGTTCAAATACCTTCAACTGAAATAAATTGTTTGGATAGCAATTTTCATTTGAACTGTATTATAACTGCCTTGGGCGTCATATTAATGCCAATCAAACTAAGAGAACAATTTTTAGAATATGTAAGAATTAAAATTTCTGTTAGTGGAATTTTTAAGAATACTTATCCATTTATTTTTTTGTTAAATAATGATTCTTTTATAAAAATATACAGACTAAAGTTTGATTTAATTTTATGAATTAAGTAAATATCTAGTTTGTTATAGAAATAAATTATTTATAAGGATAGATTTTAGGTGACACTTTCAAAAGTTTTATGGAATCCTACTGTAATTATTTTACTATTAAATAGAAAATGGTTTAAATAAAATCTAAATAATAATTTTGCTGTTAAAAATGTTTTATAATAAAAAAATAATACTAGGTCCTTATATAAATATTGAAAGTTACCTCTAAAATCTATCCTTAAAAACAGGGGTGTCATTTTATGTTATAATAGACTGAGACAAATTTTTGACTCCAGTCAAAAATGAGCCCATCATTTTATAAAGTTGCTTGCTTTGCTTTAGTTTTATCCTCATAATATAACCATACATCTAATTGTATATAAAAAGCTATTTAAAAAAAATAACTTTATGGCTTTCTTTTTTATACAATTTTAATATAAATAATATATAACATTTAAGCTAGTTTGGTTGATGGAAAGATACATGAACACAAACATTAAGATGATTGATTAGATTTAAAAAAATATAGTACTATTTGCAAAATTTTTTTAGAAGTATTATAATTTATTAATTAAACAATAATAAATGTTTAAAAAATAAATTAAATGAACAGAAATATTTGTTTTAAATCACACTTTTAAATTTTTTGCAAAAATGATTTACTATTGTTGTTTTACAGTGTAAGGTTGTTGTTTAAACAAATAAGTAAAATACATTTTTTTCTTGTAATAGCAAAAAAAATTACAAATTAAAAATATTTAAAATTTTAAGTCTTAATTAAAGTATGGGATTACTAAGAGAGATTTTTGAATAAAAATGAAATAGGGAAAGTTAATTTTTTTCATTATTTGTATATGAAATTTCTATATGTAAAATAATTTGCTTATAATTAGCTGAACAAAATAAACCTAATAGTTACCCAGTAGCACACCTAAGGTGGTTAATCAGGTCAATGGCTCTTTTTAAATATTTTTACAATCCAAGTTTTATTTTTTTTTTAATTAAGCGATAGACTAATTAAACATTAAAATAAAGTTGTATAATACATTCAAAGTTTCATAAGAGGGTAGGTAGTAACTTCCTCTTAATTGGAGAATAAATAAATACTTATTTTTTGAACATTACCTAAATTAAGTTAAGGTATGTCAATTTGCTCTTTTAAAAATATCATCTTTTCCCAGGCCTGGGGTATATGAATTACTGTAAGGATCAGTTTATTGTTTTTATGCTGGTGTACAAGAGCATATTAATTCAATATTTTATATCCAATAGTGATTTCTTTAATGAAGTACAAATTGTGTTCAATTATAACTAAATACACAGAGCTCTATTTTAAAATTGGGTGTTTTAATTAAAAAATATTAGTTATATTGTGTAATTAATTTTTAGGGGACTTTACATAAGAGTAAATTAGTGTCAATGTAATTTTTAGAAGACTACACATGCCTGATTGTACTAGTATGTTTGTTGATTTATTTTGTTTAGATTTATAAGACTGAAGATGATAAAGAAGGTATTTGGGTGGTAGTAGATAGTGAAGGAGAAGACGAATGCTCAGAAAATGGTCAGCATTTACTTCGAGAAAGTGATATTATTGCACTACTCAATCAAATTCCATTCTCAATTCTTTTTAAAAAAGTAGATATTTTTAAATAAATTTTTATAGTTTAGGTGTCTTACAAATATTTAATTATGTTATAAAATAGATGTTATCTGAAAATAATGGTAATGATGAACTAAAAATAAATCTTTGGAATGATTCAAATCTATTACGAATTATTGCAATTGCAAATACATTAGTCAATATATTGAAAACTGGATTAGAAGTATACAGTACTAATTCTGCTGATTATCGACAGTTTTCTAAAAGACTGGGACAAATTCTTCAAGATGTTGTGAATTATGTGACTGATATTTTAGAAGAGTATAAGTATGTCACATATTTTTTTTTTTTTTTTTAAATTGTTAAAATTGACCATGAGCATTATATTAAGATGTCATAGGTATGTGTCGCCTAGAGTACAAACAGAGTATGATGCTTTGATTGAACGTACCGTTTTGTGTTTATATGATAATATTGATAGAACCACATGGCAATACTTGGTCATGTTACCTTTTAAATATATATCTTCCCAAACATCAATTAGTCTTTATCAGTATATACTGAACTTAAAATCAGGTTAATTTATGAGTATTTTTAAAATAGTTTGATAGAAAATATTTTAAATTAATTTTTTACCTCAGGAATTAATGACTGTTCAATAGAAGAATTGACAGATTCAATAGTTAAAACATCAGATGATGAATGTTACTATATTCTGACAACAATTAATAACATGGCTTTAAGCAGAGATATGAAAGATGTTGAATTTATAACTGCAGTTACTTCTAGTTTAGTTAAGGTATTTAATTTAAACTAGATAGGAAATAGACAATTTATTTTATAAATTATGTATTCAATTTTTTTTTTGCTTAGAAATAAAAATTTATAAGTAATTTAGTGGTATTTTGTATGTTTATTTATGGATATATTATCTAAGTTTCTTCAAATATGCGATTGTTTAAAAATAAGTAGAAGAAATATACTTTTAGTTATTAAATTTACTAATATATTAATTACTTTATTTTGACTATAGATTGGATTTGTTAGTATTACTACTAAAGAAAAATGTAAGAAAACATGTGGTGCTTTACTGTCAAGTTTATCAGATAAATATCCATTTCTTATCTCAGATATATTAAATGTTCTTAAAATTCATTTTGATGAAATAAGTTCTGTATGTGTACTATGAAAAATTCTTAATAATTTCTTATAAATTTTATAAATTCTATTTTAGAATTCGATGTATATCTTTCAAAAGCTCCCTTTGTCCAGATGGAAGTTAACTGAGGATGACTTGTTGTACATTGAAAATTTAATATTGAATTATGCTATCACATCTATTCAAAACACTCTAAGTCGTTATATACTAACAAAATTGTTTTCAGAATGTGATGAAACTGATATAAAGTTTGTTACAATAATTTTTTAGGAAATTATTACTATAATTTTGACATAATTGTAAACTGGAAATTAAAAATTTCTTAATTAAAATTTTAGTGATCTAATGATGACTAAAGAGATGCATGGCCGTATAGCAATTATAGTTGTTAAAGCAGTTTTAAAACATTCACCCATTACTACTGATGAAACTTCAGCCTATTATTTAGTTCATAGCATAAAACAAGTAAATTAATGAATAATTTAAACCCATTATTTATACCATATATCAGATTAAAAAATTTAAGTATTTACTTAGTTTGTTCAAATTAAATCAAATGAACAAGCTTTTCGAATGTGGGTGTGGAAACTTTTGTATTCATTAAAATTACACTTAATGGATTTACCAAGTTTAATTGTATGTGGAGCATTACAAAATATTAGTCATTATTTACTATCTGTTATTGACATTGAAATTGTTAATGAAGTAAGTGTTATATATTATAAACAATACAATTAAAAAAATTAGAGCTATAAAATTGAAATATTTTAGGACACTAAGTGTTTACATGTAGAGGATCCTATTGCATTTTATTGTGCTGTTCATTTAACTACAGCGGGTCATTGTGTACCTGTAATATTTCATAAAGGCCTTGATTATTGTTATAAATTGCTTCAGTATAAACATTATACGGCCACTATAGCTTGTCTGAATGTAATTGTTCCTTTCTTTTTTGAACACAGCGAATGTTTGTTAGAATCAAAAAAGTAATATAAAATATTTACTTAATATAGTAATTCAGTTTTAATTTATACAATTTTCCAAGTATGATAAGAAAAATTTTATATTTTCTCATTTTATTGTTATATAATTAACAATGTTATAATTCTCTGTGATGAATTATTTATTAGTCATATTGAAGAAGATTATAATCAAATTTGTATCATAGTTGTAAAATCAAAATTCTATGTGTGCTTAACGACATAAAATAGATATATTTTGAAAGTGAACATATATAAAAATTTTTTTTTTAGTTGAAGATATAATTTCTGGTGTATATTTCAGATTTATTTCAATTGTGTCAGGTATAATGGCTGATAATCGAAGTAGTGCAAATCGAGCTATTAATATATTAAGTGTTCAAGGACCTTCTGAAATCATTGTACAATTTAATAACATGATTCAGTATCAGATTTCAAATTTTAAACACTACAATCTTTTAAATCAGCAACCTGTAGTAGAACTATGGACTAAAATAATTTGTTCTTTATGGAAAGAAGCGGAAAATGATACATTTGTTTATGTATTAGACACAATATTTAAAAATATTATAAATACTCAATATTTACCATGGGCTCGTGAATTATTAGCTAATCTCATAACAGTAACTATTTTTTATTGATGTTTAAGTTTAATTTAGTATTTAATATACAGTTATACTTATATCACTAAATAAATTTTATAGCAATTTAGTGATATTAAAGAAAATATGTCGGCTATTGGTTCAATTTTAAATTTTGTGTTTCAAAGCCCTGACAAACGATCATTATTACTCCCTAAGTACCCAGTTGTATTATCTAACTGTCCTTACTATGTACTCTTAGCATTAGAAGCAGAAGAGTGGTATATACAAGGTAGAAATGAAATTTGGAAACAATTATTGATTAAGCTTCGAACGCAACAAGGAAAAGCAAATATTGATGTTGCTCTTAAAGTTTGTAGCTCATTAAATAAATATTTTATTATTTGCATTTGGGCTTAAAATTTTAACTAACCAAAAAATAATACCATGTCAAATGTATTAACTAAAAAAAATATTATTACAAAAGTATTCAAAAAACAATATTCCAATTGGTTAATATGGGTTTAAAGTGCTGATTTATACATATTTATTTACAAATTTTCTTCATAAATGATGAATAAATAAATAATAATTTTAGAAAGTGTGCTCTGATTTAAAAATATCATATTTTACATCTGGACATTTATCAATTTATCGATGGATGCAATATGGTTTAGAAATGCCTTGCCAGCAGCCAGTAGCCTTTCTTTATTGGCAAAACTTTTTTAGATTATATTTACAAAGAGTTCCTGGGTAACTAATTGTAACAAATATTTAAATTAAAATAATAATATTATAATGAATTGATATATCTTTTAATCATATTCATTAAATTTAAGGACTCAGCATAATGGTAGTGTTGGTCGAAAGTTTTTTGAAGGTATTGTTAATTCTTCTTACTTAACTAAGATAAATATCAAGTTAAAAGAATGTGCTGATTTTCATCGTACAAAATTAAAAAATAATCCCAACTCAGAAGTTGATTTACGATTGGCTAGGTGATAATAATTATAAATAATCTAAAAGTTCATTAAAGTTTATATTAAATAACTATTATTTTGTTATTTTTAGATTTTATGAAGCATGTACTCTATGGCTTTTTGATGTGCGTTTACTCGAACCTACTTTGTTTGTACCTTCTTTGGATCAAATGTATGAACCAAATGATTTGACACATATTATTAATGGATCAAATGTAAAAAAAAATAATAATCAATATACAAGTTTTTTTGGTTAATATATTTTATCCTCTACTTATATTTTAAAGGAATGGTTAATATATCTTGTAAATCAAACATTGGTTGAAGAGTCAAAAATTGAATGTTCAAAAGCATGGATTGAATTGTTAGGAAAAGATATTCAAATTAAGAAAAATAAAATTCAAAAAAAACATTCATTAGTGAAAGAACCTATAATAAGAGTTATTAATAGATTAAAATCGTATGATTCTCCTTCACCTAGTCCAGAACTCGTTATAAGATTATCTGAAGTGCGAATATTATCTAATGATATTTTATATCAACAGCAAGATATATTGAATATTATTCAATTTAATTTAAAGCAAATTTTAGACTTCATTAGGTGAGCATTTTTAAATAATTTTATTATATACTTTTAACTATTTTATGACTAATAATTAATGAACTTTTTTTAGTAATATATATAGAGTGTATACATTACGCCATAAAAATCTTGATGAATGGTACTTGGATGGTTTGAAGGTGTTGTATAATCAGATAGAATCAACTACGCGAGTGCAAGCTATTTGTGATTATAAAACTAAAAGAAGTAATCAAAGTGTTATAAAATGTTCTGGTGCTGCTGAAATTTTATTTCAAGTATGACATTAATTTTTAATTTAACTAAATTATAATTTTCATGAAAAATTATTGTGATGTTATAGATTCATGAAGCAAAATTAAATTTAGATGTACAAGAAGTAAATTTAAATAATAGAAAAGAGTTAGATACATTAATAAATACCACCTTAGAACTTCTATTACCTCCATCTTTAACAATTGCTTGTACCACTCTTAACCTTATTACACAGTTAGTATTTAAATTCCTTAAATTTTTGGTAAAAAAAATTTAAATATCAATATTTTAATTTATAGGCAAATAATCAGTGAATTAGCTGCTTTGTCAAAAGTTGGAGATATTGCTTTAATGAGTAAACTTAAATCATCAGGAGTTCAAATTTTTTATAAAATCATAAAAGACTATGAAATTTTGAAAACATGTCCCGCAATTGAAACTTTTATTTTAGTTATCTTACAGTCTATTGGGAAAGTAAGTGAAATAAAATTATTTCTGATATATACACAAGCCAAACAGAAATCTGTAATAAACAGTTACAATAATATTGTAATATTATTTTTTTTTTGTTATATTATGTTTATAAGTTATATTATGATATTACTGCTCTTTCTATATAACTGTTTATAGTTTTCTAAAATAATTGTTATTTCTGAAAACATTTACTATGACGTTTTACTCTATTATGTAAAAAAAGAAACAGTATTTTTATAACTACTATTTCTTTTTTTCTCAAAACTATCATGTCAAAAAATCATCTTTTATGCTTATTGTACTAATATTGTATAGATTGTATAAATAAAAAAAAACAAAATATATATAATAATAATAATAAATAAATAAAATTTGTGGTTAAATATTTAATAGATTTCATCACTTAATTTTTATCATTAAATATTTTTTGTTTTTGAAAAATACTTGTGAAAAATTTATTAGTAATGTAGACTAATACGACTATAATAATTATATATATTTAACTGCTCCAAGTTTAACCACCACAATAAGTTAACCCATTTGACTGTAAATAATTTATAATATATCAAAGATAGGTTATTTAAGACTACTTTATATTATGATGTGTTATTTACATAAACAAATAATAGAAGTAAACAGCTTCTATTTCAAAAAATATTGTTAATAATTTTGTGGCTATTTTAAAAGTTTATTTAATTTTTGTAAAACATTGTATGAGCTGCATTCTTGGTTAATTCAGTTTCAAAATTTTACTGTTAATTAATTTTATGAATTAAAGGTATTTATTTCAAACAACGAAAAAGAATGTCTTCATATTATGAATACTGCTTTAACATATCAAAATTTATCAGATGTATTAGTACCACTTTTTTCACCATCATCAACATCGAGTAAAACATTTTTAGAGGCATATAAAAATATTATACAACATTGTAATGCTCAATATGAACCTATTGCATTGAAATTACTTTCTCAAGTATGTTATACAATATTATTGAGCAAATTTATATATTTTAATGTCATAAAAATTTTAAAATTTTTATAGTTTGATGTAGCGACTTATTTATCTATCAGACAACCTCTTCTCCAAGAACGTTCAGTTTTAATTAATCATTGTATGGATGCTTTAATAATGATCAAGCAACAAACAAAAACAGATTATACAACGAGTGTTCATGAGGTTTTTAGTTATAATTTCTACTATAATAACTTTTTAGTTCTACTTTTTACTATCATTATGTTTATTATCATCTTAATACTGTAATATTATTGTTAGAGTATTAATCTAGTAAGCTTAGATCATGTGAGTATATTTTTCAAGCTTCAAGATTTAGTGATCTCTAATTTCTTTATTAAAGCAAAAAAAAAAAATTGTGAAGCTTGAATGAGGCTTATGATACAGGGACCATTTTAATTTTGAACCCTAGGCTTCACAATGTCCCTAGGTACAATTGGAAAACATCTTTTGGGGAACTAACTTATTCTTCCCCTTAAAAATATTTTTATATAAATTTACATGTAATTTTTATAATTTTTGATGGAATTATAACAGAATTAGTGATAAGCACCCTCTAGACTCTCTCAGATTGTGCTTATGATATGTTAATCTAGACTTATACACTACAATAAACTAATACATTTTTCATGAGTCCCAATTTAATTTAATTTTAAAATTAATTTTTAATTTAATATTTCGAAATTTAATTATCATTGGTAAAAAATAAAAATAAGCTAATATTTTAGTTATTCACTCAACATTTATGTAAAATGATGGATCATGATTTTCCTGAGCATTATGGAGAAATATTACTTAAGCTCTTGGAACATTGTAAAGAAGGTAAAATTTACAGTCATGTATGGTTTTATATTCTTAATACTATATTAGCTCAAGCTGTACCTTTAACACCAACTGAATCAAAAAGAACCATTTTATTACCAGACATGTCTATAGAACAATTGAGAGATATTGTTAGACGTTATGCTACTGATCAACGATCATTAAATTCACAACAAGTAAATTTAAGAAATATTTGTGCACATTATTTTTAATTTAATCTTAATATTGTTTTAAAGCTTCAAGAAACATTACATTTATTGACAACACATTTTGCAAATGAAAGACTTAAATCTGCTACTGGTGAACTTTACTCTAAATATAATTCATATGTTGAACCCTTGATTTACTTGTATGCAATGGTCGGTCATGCTCTGATTGTTGGTACTTTACAAACTTATCGTGGAATGTTAGCAAATCAAAGTATGTCAAATTATATTATTAAAATTATTTATTTATATCAAATTAATAAAGGAGTGGTGTGTTTTAATTTTTTTTAAGTATGTGAATTTCTATGTCCAACATTAATAAGCATGTTTGGTCCTTGGCTTGAACCATGGTATGAAGGATGGAATACTGAAAATAAAACTTTAAAGTTTCCTTGGTTGGCTACTAATACAGCAGTAGCTACATTAATGACCAATACATTAGTAGAATGTATTTTATTTGTATTAGATACTATGCCTGGTATGAAATTTAATTTATTTCATCTAAGAATAATAAATATTATTTAAAAACAAAAAATTTTTAGCTTGTGATAATGTATTAAGTTATATCTGCCAATGGTATATTAAGCTTTATGCCCATATGCAAATTACAGATAACATTTTTGAGGTTATTCATTCAAGTCTTGCTAAACTACCTTGGAAACGTTTTATGCCAATAGATGTTGATATTGAATTAATTATGAAGGTATTTTTCTGTTACAAATTTCATCAAAATTAAACTTCTAGTTTGTTTATTTTATTTAGGTTATGGATCAATTTTTACCTCAATCTCACTGCTTTTTAGCAGATATTATCATAGAAGTTCCCTGGCCATATGTTCAAAAAATTGACATACGAACATTGTTTTCTCTTTTTATAAAAGTTTCAAACCTACCTAATATGAGAAAAGTAAACATAATTTCCTAATTATATGATATATTAAAGATTAAGTAAATTTTGAGTAAATTTTTAGGATAGTAAAATTAGACCAATTTTATTGGAAGTTCAAAAGTTTCCTTGGCATCAAATTGATGGTGAATATTATGAAAATATTCTTAGCTGGTTTGTTTCAAAGTATGATCCTTTAACAGTGCTCCAATTAACTAACGAAGACTGGTGTGGCACAGATTCTGCAGTACTTGAGTAATATAAATTTTATTTAAGTTAATGCAATTTTATTTAAATTAAGTTATATTTATTACTTAGTCTCTTAAAGTTAGGCGCTGGTTATAATGAGGTTGATCAAAATATACCCTATGCAGAACATATGTCTTATAAACGACGCGTTTTTATCCGTGCAATGGTAAAAATGTTTGTATCATTAACTTTGCGGTACAGATCAATTTTAGGTAGCCATTACAGACATCTAAAATGTTCATTCAGTCGTCTTATGGATGAAATTGAAATGGTAACTAAGCACGGCGAAGAAGCTAAACTACTTATTATTGAGTTGCTTGCACTGATTAATCAGTCTTCTGGTTCTGTACTGTCATCACTGATGCTTCAGACTATCCAAGAATGGATTGTTAAAAGAAAAGCTAATAGCACAGTTATGGAAGGTTTACTGATGGCGACATGGTCTCATGTTACTGAGCTTCAATATAAAAGTGATATACTGGAGGCTTGCTTAACTGCATGGTTTAAAAATTCAGGCAAATTATTTAATATTATATTCATAAAAAATTTTAATTTAATATAATTTTATATCAAAATATAAATTATAATAAACAGGGAATGAAGAAGAGTTTAAATGGGATAAAGTTTTGACTCTATTGCCATCAGTTCATTTACACTATCAAGGTTTAGCTGAAATATTAATGTCTTCTAGTCATTTACTTACATTATATGCTCTGGCTTTAAAAGAATCACAAAATCAATCATCATATTCAGATATTCTCATTACTTTAGTTCAGTGCTTAGAATCAGTAAAACCAAAGTAAGTAAATATATTAAAAAGTTATAGTATATCAATTTATACTAGAGCCACCTAAATTATGTAATTTTTAAAAGAATGTCACCAAATAATTTTTATTTGTTTATAATAAAATAAGTATTATTTTACTATTTTTTAATGATTTTTTACTTACCAAAATCTCATTTTTATCTTTTTAATTTAATATACTTCATGATTTATTAATCATACAGTACTTTTTAGGTCCATTCATAAGTACAACTGTGTTGAGGCTTAGAGAGGTTTAGCCCCTCCATTTTTAAAATTAGCCTCTCCAAAATTTCAGTTAATATATAATTATATAAAGAAAATTAGGGAAGTGGAGATTATACATAATGAGCCTCTCAAAAAGTTTTATTGAAATTGCACCAATGAACCCATCTTTTATATCTTATTAGGAAATAAGGATACAAACTTAATGTTTTTAAATAGCAACATATATATTAAATAACTTATATAAAAGGAAAAGATATAATTTTGAAAATTACTGATCTATAACAACTTTTATTGATTCTAAAATATAGGGGGGTCTATAGATAGTTTTACAATAAGCATAAAAGATGATGATTTTTTTACATAATAATTTTGAGAAAAGAAACTGCCCACCGACAACATTCTTTTTGAAGTGATATTATTTAGTAGTTAAATTTTAGCTTCTATGAGAAGCTGAAAAGGTATTAGTTTTACTATAGTGTTTTTTTTTGTCTGTTACTACTTTTTCTCAGCTCTCACCGAACTGATTTCTTTCAACGATACGTCAAAAGATCACAAATCGTATCTAGTCAAAGACATTACTCTTAAAAATTGAAAAAATTTCCCTCGTTCTCCGTTAATAGAGGAAATCTCCAAAAATTACAAATTTAAAAATCACTAATTTTCGACATTTTTTCAATTTTTTTTACTTAAAATTGCCATAAATTTTTAAAAATGACAAAATCGATATAATTTTTTTTTAAATACATACATGAGGTATTTACCTATCATTTTTTATTTTTTTATTAATTTAACCCTTTACCTGCCCACAAGGGAGGATTCAAAATTACAACTTTTTTTTACAAAAAATTAACTTTTGAAAGTGTTTAGTAACTCTGACACTTTTATATATATCTTAAATTAAAGCTAATATAATATTCTTTATTATGGGAAAAAAAAATTTCGGAATTTATTTTGTCTTCATGGTAAAAATAGCTACTATATTCAAAAATATGTTATTTTTGTGTTAAACTTCTTGGTTTTGTATTTTATTTTATTATAAGGGGATTACACTGATTTTCATAAATATTATATCAATAATTAGATTGATATAGTATAAAAAGTTAAGCATATTTAAATTTTTTTGTTTCTTTGAAGTTGAGAAAAATAACTTTAAAATTTGAACTAGCTAAATTTCCATTTTTATTAAGTGACGAATGCGACGTACGCTTTCTGAGACGGTAACACTTGGGTCTTTCATGCCTGTGGCACTGAATTTTTTCTTAATTCTTTATAAGTTAGAAAAAAATGTTTAACTCATTTGATTTTTATCTCATTTAGATTCAATAACTACAATAAATATCAAGGATCCCATTACTGTAGTTTCCTCTCATGAGAAGAAATTCATATTAATATTATTTTACTATGTGGTTTTTTTTTTGTAGCTATCATTTATTTTCTCAGCTCTCACTTAACCTACTTTTTTGACAAATTTTTTTTTTAAATTAAACACTATCTACAGATTTGCATCGAAGTGTTTTTTATGATAGTGATTTCAATCACTGTTAGATATCATCTATACTGGACCCAACTATGCCACTTTTGAAAGTGTTTAGTAACTTTAGACACTTTTATATATATCTTAAATTAAAGCTAATATAATATTCTTTATTATGGGAAAAAAAAATTTCGGACTTTATTTTGTCTTCATGGTGAAAATGGCTACCAAATGCTATTTTTGTGTGAAAATTCTCGATTTTATATTTTACTTATTTAACTTTATATTTATATAACTTTTTGACAAATGTATGTATACAATTTTTTCATTATTTTCCATTATGCTACTTAATATATATGTTTTAATTTAAATAAATAAAGTTTTTAGCCTTATAAAGAATAAAAGCTGAACCTAAGTAATACTTAATAATTAACAATTTGAAAAGTATGTTAAACTCAAAAAAGTTAGAAAAAATTTCTCAATATTTTTATTATTTTAGAAGATATTGAGTAGTTAATGGTAAAAGATCATCTTGTATATTTACATGTGAAAATTTAATCTTATTTATTTAAAATTCTTTAATTTTATGATTTTTAATAATAAACCATAACTTATGGTGAAGAATTGATTAAAACCACTAAAATAGGAATTTAACTGATGATTTATAAATGTCACATTTATAGAAGTGTAAAACCTTTACTTTGTAAAAGTGGTTAATAACTGTTTCTACTTTTAGTAATATATCTGAAAATAAACTTCCTTTGATATGGTCTCTTACTTTACGATTGAGTTCATTTGAGGATGACCACACATCAAATTATTTACTCAGAATATCTGCAGCTGCAAATCAATTAGCTCAATTTAAACAAAGTTGGAGCTTATTTGATGCAATAAGATTACAAAAACAGACAAACATTACAACTAAGTAATTATTAAATATAATTATATCTTTACAAGTATCTATGTATATAATACTAATGTTGCAGATGTCGAGTGCTATGTCGTGCGTTAGCAGCATTTATTCATGCTCAGTTACCAGAAAATAAATCTAGCCGCAAACAGTTTATTAGGCAAGATGCTAATGCTCCTGGTGGTTTTTCTAGTAATAACAAGTAATATGATTTAATTCATAAATTATTTTACTTATTAAAAATTTATACAATTAATTATTTTAATTTCAGTGACTTTGTGACCTCAATGGAATGTTTAAAAGCAACTTGTGCGTTAGAGGCTCTCAAACAAGACAGACAATATTCAGATTGTAATATTGCAATCGATATAGCCATCAAAGATATTAAAGGATCACACAGCTGTATGAAATATGGTGAACAGTTTGTAATTAAATTAGCAAAATGTTTGTACACAGATAATTTTATACATGGTATAATACCTTTATAACATATATATTTATAATGTGTATTTGTCATTTTTGTCTGTGATATATTTATTATGATATGTTTAAGGTTTTATTTTATTGAAATTTATTTTATTTTAATTATTGTTATGGTTTTAAAATATTTTTACAAAATTAATATATATTTTAATGACAAAATATTTTATAACTTCATTTTTTTAAATTTATAAAATAATACAAGAATATTTATCTTATACAATTTTTATAGAAATTATTTGATGAGCATTTGTTCTTATATTAAGTAGTGAAATGAAAAAAACTGTATTTTAATTTTTGTTTACGCGAAAATTACAAAATAATTTAAGTATGATCTTAGTCAATAATTTCAATATTTAACTCTAAAGTAGAGCTGATTTCAGTTCTTTGAGATTTATTAGCATATTATAATCTACTTATGATGAATCAAATAACTACATGATCATTAACATGAAATCTACGATTTGCTCAAAGAGGAGATTAAGAGTTGAATTCCATGACGAAATAATTGCCTATAGAAGATAAAATTTGTAGGGGGTGTAAACATTTTTCTTATGTACAACCATCTTACACCCAGAACGATGCCACGTTTTCCTAAACCAAATTGATATTTAATGCGGGTTAAGATATGTTTAAACCTTGTATTGACATGGTTGACAAATAAATGGATTGTGTAACGTGAAAACATCGTAAGCGTCTTCAAATTAGGTGGTACTGAGTTTCAGATGAACGTTAACATTTTAGTATCAGGTACTTTTGAAAATAATTGACAGATGACATATTTACTCAGATCCTGTACTTGCACCTAACCGTTTTTTATCAAAAGATATTTTTCACGAGGAGGTGTTTAGAGAGTAAATTGGGCCTGAACTCGCTTTATGGCAAAAATAAGCGTTTAAGATACAATTAGGAGGTAGAAATAGTACACATTTTTCTTAAAGGAAATGTCCTATGAAACTGTAATTACGACCCTTAGTTAAATAAATTTTAAACATAAGTCAAAAATTTGTTTTGAGAGCCGTCAGTGCTTATTTTGTTTGTAAATAGATTCAATCTTCTCTTGAAGAACAAGAAAGGAGGGGTAACATTCGAATACCTATATGTGTAATTGTAATGTGCATTAAAATGTTTTTAACATATGTATTATATTGATAAAAATTTCGCTGTATTCATTAGTTGATGACAATTTTCTTTTGTATTTATCTTTCGGTTCTATTTATACTTTTTTCATTTCTATCAATACACTAGTACGAAAAACATAGAGAATACAATGTAGATATTGGAAAGTAAGTAGCCGATCAAAAATGGAAATTAAATAAAGTGGAAAAAAATACACGACAAAAAATGAAAACATCTATGTGTTCGACCATGAGTAAATAGGACTCTGCATTCTCGTTTTAACTCTCTATTTCCCTCATTTTCACAAATGCAATAGAGTGTACCGATCCGTTACAAAGATCTTTTGAAGAAAATATCATAAAATGTGTACGTTTGTATCACGCGACACACGGTGGATAATGTTGTGCTTCAATCCTAAACGTTATGCGAATGGGACAAATAATAGAAAAATAGTTGGAACGGGCAAAAAGTAAACGGTCAATAGCGAAATTATATTAGGTCCAGTAGAGACGTCTTTATTACATTGGTCCTTTTCTCGCATTACTGACGCGTTGACGAGCATAGGGGATATTTTTTATTTATTACCACTTTGGTTCCCGATAAAGATTTGTTTGCAGAAAATATTTTTTCGGGACTATCAAAGGCGTGTATAAATATTATTTTTATTGATTTCGCATTTTCTGTAGGTACCTTTGTTAATGTATAGTGCAACAAATTCACTAATATCAGTATTATGTTTCTGATCATTTTAGTAACGCATATAACATATGATGTGTTTATTCCATAAATTGTTGTATCAAACAACAATATTTTTTTAAAATCTGACTGTTGAATCGGCAAATTTATCATAACTAACATGCATTGACTAAGTATATATTCATAAATACACACGTCTCGAGAAAAATGGGATGTAAAAATATCGAAATTCGATTATTTGAAAAATCTCAACTTTAAACGAAAAAAATATCACATGTTCAATACTGTTTTCTAGAATTATGATTTCTACTGAACATTTGCGCTGGATCCTTGGAAAATCTGATGGAAATGACACGTTTGGGAAATTAAAGAGCAAACTATAGATACTACTATTTTACTCTCTCTTGAAAAAATAAAAAGAATAATACTGCAATAATAAAATAAACACTTTATTACCGCGAGACAATGACCGTATAATAATAACAGCTTGGCGATAAAAAGTGACCGTAGGACTAAAAGCAAATCCTCGTCGCGGAGTAACTCAAGGGACTCCAATGTTAACGACAACTGATTAATATTATAGAAATACCGTCATTTCCCACCTGTACTAGGACAAGACTGATGATCAAAACCGATTCGAGTGAATATTCGTGTATTAATTTTCATCATTTCTTCTGGGAATTACTGTGCCACAGTGATTATTTATATTTTCTCTCTTATTCACTTTTTTTTTGATACGCAGGATATAAAAAATTATTTTAAAGATGAAATTCATAAAAACTCTTCTTGATTATTTTAATGTAATTAGAAATAGCAAAAAAAAAAAATTCTCCACAAAATATTTATAACTATTTTATTGAGAATTTTTTTTATACCTGCAATATTTAACCATACACTGTAACAGATATTGAGAGTCGCAAACGTTGAATACTACTTTGTACAAATTTTTTTTTTTGCTGAATTTAACAGTAAGAACTTAACTAAATTTTATAATTTTTCGTTTGTATAAACTCAATTACTACTCATACTTTTTTGAAAAAAATATAATACAGTAGAACTCCAATTATCCGAACTCCGATCATCCGAATCGCCGATTATCCGAATCACTTTCAGAAAAAATCAGAAAAAAATTTGTCCAAAGTCCGCGGCGTCAGTGTAGGCACAACACGTGGTAAGAGTTCCCACTCCAGTTCCGGCGCATTGCAGTCACCTGTCATTGTTTATTTTGATTAGTCAGTGAATGGGTCCCGGCCCCCATTAATTCGGATAATTGGAGTTCTACTGTATTGTTATTTTATTTTAGTTACTCGGTCTTTTAACTTCGTGCTTTTTCAGTACATATATGAAATCTTAAAATTAATAATAATTTTCGACATTTGAAATGAAAAATATTCATCTAAAATAAAGGTACTTTATGTTTTTTTTTGAAAACGTTCTTAGTTCATATTTTTAAAACTAAAAGTTAAAATCAGCATTTTATTTTAAAATGCTTATTTTATTCTATACAAAAATAGATTTAATGTTAAAAAAATTTTGATTGCTTTTCAATAAAGACGTTATTGAAAATGATATTATTTATCCTAAGATGGATTACTAGTTTCGTTACTTTAAATTAAATCTAATATTTTTATGTGTGTGATCTTAATTAAATGACTATTAAAAATAAATTCAAATTGTCGGATATTTTTTTCAATAAGGTTACTATTTAGAATATCTAAAAAAAAATTATGAACTTATAAAATAAAATTAGCCATTTAAGTTTTATGTTTTTTTTTATTAATAAAGAAAACTCATAACATAAAATAATTGAACTAATATTGAGAGACTTTAAATGTTTCTTATACTTTCTACAATTTAAATAATGTTATTAATTAAATCTAAGAAAAAAGGCCGATTATAAGAAAAAAACATTTAATGTTAGAGATCAACAATCAAATGATTTCAAGCTTGGATAACGTACATATAAATAACTTTTTGGCAAGTTTTTTTAATAAATAACAATAAAAACAGCAACCAAAATGATAAGATAAAAAAGAAAAAGAATATCAACAAAAATGATAAGACCAAGTATAAAACAAGCTAAGCTGTCAGTGTAGCCCTAACTTCGGTCCAGTAATTGTCACGTCGAATAGAAATTCTATAATGAATTATTCTTATACTGAGTGATTTATAAACATACCACAACTCATTTTTCGTTAAAAAATTATTTTTTGATGCAATGTATATTTTAAAATTCAATGTATTTTCACAAATTATGATAAATGTAAAGTTAATTGTAAAAAACAATTTTCTAAAGTTAAACTTTATGGGTAACTATAAATTTTAAATGGGAACCTATTATTAATTTTATACTATTAAATGGAGAATGATCTAATTTAATTTTTGACTGTTGGATAAATAGTTTTTCATATTACTTCTTTAATATTAGCATATAAAAATTTATAAAAAGCCAGGAGCGGAGTAGTGTTTAGAATGTTGTATTATTTTTACCATAGAGCACAGATAAAATTTTTTTCTTTGCGCACTTTTTAGATATATAATTAGAAGTTATAACAGTTTAAAATGTAATATAATACTGTTTATCGACCAGTCAACATTTTATGTAGACTATTCTACCCTTAGGATTATTTTCTTTTTACAATAAACTTAATATTTATCATGGTTTGTGAAAATAAATTGAATTTTAATCTATATATTTTTATATTTATATATATTTTAAAAGTCATTATTTAACGAAATGGAGGGTAATATGCTTGTTGAATTAACCTGTATATTTTTTTTTTTTTTTTTACAGTTTTAGACTATATTAAACATTTTTTTATTACTGTATATTTTTAATAAAAATAATTAAGGTTTTTATACTTTTAGATTTTTAAATTAGCCATTTTTTATTTATTTCTTACAAACAAATCTAATAAAAATTATTAATGTTGATATGTAAAACAGATTATTTAGAATTAACTAAACATTAAAACGGGTATTATTAGTTATGTAAAGTTTAAATTAAACTTAAAATGCTATTTTTGACAAGCCAATTTAAATTAATATCAAAATATCGCGATGTGTTCAATATAAAATCGACATCGAAATTTACCATAAAACTACTGTTGTTGAAATTATATGGATATTTGATAATCGTTGTTGATCATTAAAAAGTATCATTAAATTTTAAGTACTGCTAATCATCCATTTATTAATAGTTTAGTAAAATATATAGAAAACAAAAAATCCACATTGGATGGCGATAACTATTTATAAAATTATATAGCTAATATAATATTATTTTAACTAGATAAGAATCTAGATCATTGTTTAGATTTTTTCGACACTGTATATTTT